CTATAATAGGTTTGGTAACCAGGCTATGACTGTTATACTATTGTAAAGTCCTGTGTGGGGAACAGAAACAGTATCGCACTGAAGTTGTTTAACCTTCTTCCTGCTGCCTAACCTTGTAATGAGTTCAAACTTTGGTGCCAAAAGGCCACCTTAGCAGTCTGAAGGAACAGTTAAAGTACAGTTATCATCTGCGAATCTGGTATAAAACTTGGCTTTGTGAAAAGAAGTAATTTTCCTCAGGGTTGAAGCTGTGAACCGTGTATAAAACTTGGTTCAGTCCGGTGAGATGTTTGAGTAGACTGGAAGTGGTTTCCCACAGAGCGAGTTTCTGTCAGTTCTTGGCAGCCTCAGACGTCCCTGTGCCAGTCTGGCATCCTGCCAACTCAGGTCCATATAAGGGATGAGGAAGGAAGGCTGCGCAGGTTTGGCCCACTTCCTGGTGTTTGGGAAGGATCAATTAGCACAAACTCTGCTGCAGCAGACACGGGCAAGGGTTGGCATCAGGGCAAATATCATACACTACTTTGCTTGTCGAAAAGAGCTACACATGTACATGTAGAGTAATTTCCCTGGTACAATGAACCTGTAAACACTGTACATAGCATCTGTCTTTTCTGATACGACCAGTGGAAGATTAGCTCTTCAATGAGCTAAAACTGAATTGATTGATATCACTTTCTGGTTTTTCTTATACAGTATCAGGACAACAGAACACGTTGGCAGAATGTACTGCACCTGTACAGAAAAGATATCGCCTGCAACTGCATATAGCAAAATCCTGATGCAACGTTGACCAAACATTCAACGAAAATATAAATCCAGGTTTCATGCAGGTGCGTTACGCTCGCTGCCAACGTGCTGTCTAACTGACCTGTCTTCTGGTATCAAACCGCTCACGGCAGGTAGAACATGACAATTGTATTGGTGCATGGGAGGAGGGTCTGTAAACTTAAAGTCATTGTGACAACTATGCTGGCTTTCAAGCTTGGTTCCCGCCAAAGCTTGGCCAAAGACTAGATCAGCTTTCAGCTGTGGCAGAACCAAAACCTGTACCAGTGATACTGACATCTACCCCCATATCCACACGGCCTTGCTGAAATCCCTGTGTAAGCTCCAGACCTTAACGAGTTCGAGGATCGGACCTTCGATGGATCACCATATCTGTGATCACGCTAGGATCCCGTATTTGTCACTGTAGGATCCCCATATTTGCTATAGTAGATCACCGTATTTGTCACTGTAAGATCACCGTATTTGTCTGTAAGATCACTGTATTTGTCTGTATCTCCTACACCACAACTGTTCCTAAAACGGACCTTGCCAGGATATTCCTAGTATCGCCCATCGCTGCCGGCACAGATGTCCGGCCTTTTGTACCCGAGTCTATCACAAGGCCACGGTCACGGTCAAGGCTGGGCGGCCGTGTATGGGGGTTATATAATAGCCCAACTCCTGTATGGAGCTTTGGTAGGCCGTGTATGGGGGTTATATAACAGGCCAGCTCTCTATAGGGGCTGGTGCAGTTGGTCTGATCCTGACACTTCATCCTCAGGCCAAAACAATCCCCACACGCACCTAAACTGTGGGGGTCGCTTCTTGTTTTGAACTTTTGTAGTCATGAAAAGGCATAAATACACGACTGTTTTTCTGTCTTCTATTTTCTGGCTTTTCTCCGTTTGGAGAAACCATTCCAAAACCACCTGGAGCCTGGGTGCCAGACTGTTTCCAGGGCCTACACAGGCCAGCTCCTCAGCTCCAGGGCCAACATGCTAGCCTGGGTGCCAGGCTGTTGCCAGGGCCTACACAGGCCAGCTCCACGGCTCCAGGGCCAACATGCTAGCCTGGGTGCCAGACTGTTGTCAGGGCCTGCACAGGCCAGCTCCTCAGCTCCAGGGCCAACATGCTAGCCTGGGTGCCAGACTGTTGCCAGGGCCTACACAGGCCAGCTCCTCAGCTCCAGGGCCAACATGCTAGCCTGGGTGCCAGACTGTTGCCAGGGCCTACACAGGCCAGCTCCTCAGCTCCAGGGCCAACATGCTAGCCTGGGTGCCAGGCTGTTGCCAGGGCCCACACAGGCCAGCTCCTCAGCTCCAAGGCCGACATGCCCCCAAGGAATCTTTGCACTTGACAATCACCACATTTTCACAGTCTACATGCAACAGGCCACAACAGCTGGTTCTTGCCAACTACCTGTTATACCAGGGACCCTGCTTGTACCAGAACCACATGTTTTTTAGTCAAGAACTCAGGAAGCCAGCTTATAAGAAGGAATATTGTAAGTAGGGATACGTTTGCTAATCTCCAACCAGATTTTGGTGGCTGCAAAGACAACATCAAATTGGCCGGGCAGTATCCATTTGCCACCTGTTGGGCTGACGTACAAAATACAAGAAAAGAAACCAGTAGAAACAAGAAAGCCAGATAAAAATGCATAAAAACACCTTAAAAATCTGCTTGGAGGGTAGACATGTATGCGGCTGCAGGAGTTGGTTAGAAATAATTAGAGCAAAACTATTCTGATTTACTAATTCAATTATGGTACAGTCAGAAAACCTGTCACTCAAAATATATAACCCAAGGGTATGTCAGGGGTTTTTAGGAAGAGTGGACATGCAAATTTCACATTGTCAAAGCCAGCAATTGCAGGCTTCAGAGAGATCCTTACACACCCTTAAAAAGCAGTCTCTCTCAATCCTGGTGACAAACTTTACAAATAGTTGAAGAAGTGCTAACATGCCCACTGCTGAAGTCTTTAACTTACTCTGGCCCACTGAGAAGATTTGACAGTCATTCTGTTTTTTTCTGCTTCCAAACTCACAGTTCTGAACCGAAGCCAACATCAGATTAGAGACTCACATCTGCTTCTGTAATGTTCTGTGTGACGTTTAGAGACAGAACCAATAAAGAAATCAATAAATAAAACACAAAGTCAGAAGGTACAAAGTTGGTTCCACCTCTTGTCACTTTCACTTTTTAAAAACAATAGCAAAGCAACCCTCGTCAGTTCAGGTCAAGTTTAATTTTAACCTCCTTAAATCTAACCAAGGAGCTTTAACCTCTTGTCACTAACTTCTTAACAACAATAGTAACCCTCGTCAACCTTCAGTTCAAATCAAGGAGCTTTAAATTTTAACCTCCATGATCTAATTAAAAATCTTGCCAAGGAGCTTTTACTTCCTTGTTCAGATACAACACAGTCTCTGTGATGTAAGACTGTAGAAACAACAAAAGCGTTCTCCTACCAGGAGCCTTGTCTGAATGGGACAATGTCCAACAGTAGTACACGGTTGCTTTTGTGTTCCTGACTATTGTAGCTAGAACAAGGTCGCTGTTGTGTGTTTGGGGCCCATTGTAGCCAGGACAAACTTGTTGTGATAAGGTAGGGGCCTGTTGTACCCTTTACAATGTTGTTTTTGTGCGTTAGGGCAGCGTGTTGTGGGTAGGAGGTAACGTGTTTTGTAAGTTTGTGGGTAGGAGGTTGTTTTGTAAGTTTGAGGTTGTTTTGTAAGTTTGCGCCCCACAGTTCCTGGTACAGCCCGGCACTCCGTGACAGGCCCAGCCCCCACAGCTGGCGACCCCTGACCCCCAGGCTCCCTCAGGCACTGGGAAAGCCCAAATTAGAAATTCCCCTGGAATGTACCACTCTGTTTCCAGGGAAGTCTGATACTGCGGTGCGATTCTTAGCTACTTTTGAGAAGCAAAAGTGACAAAAAAATTGCCCAAAGGGTTGTCAAATGGATTCTAAAGGAAAAAGTTTAGTTTACTCACAACTTACTTCACATTTGAACATTTTTCACGAAAGAAACTAAGGAGGTAAGACAGCATCTGCCTCCCTGGTGCCCCCCAGGTTTAGAGTAGGTTGGCCGGGCTTAGGTAAACAGAGTTGTAGGCTGTCAGTGGTGCATGCCTGAGGTTCATACTGACATGTTTTCCTGTGGAAGTGTGCCTGCAAGATCACACAGCTGATACCTGCACACAACACATGGCTGGAGCATGGTCTACCTGGCTATCACAAGGCTGAGGGCCTAGCTCTCTTTGCAGGTGAAATAGACGAACAAACAAACGAGCAGCATGGTCAACTTTGCTGCAACAAGGGAGTTGCTCTCTTCACAGGCAAAATACACAAACAAACAAACATATTTTTCCTGAATGTCCATATAGGACAACAAGCTAGAGGCCACATTAAATTAGTTATTTGGTTCACATAGTCTGACACATTATATACTTACTGCACTACCACAGTTAGCACCATGATCACTGAGATACTTTGTGTCCAGTGTGCTATGGGTCTGGCACCCAGGCTAACACACAGTTCCAGCTACTGAACTACAAACACGTAACCTTTGTAGCTGATGTCAGAACATGGGGGGGAGGGGTGGCGGCTGGGGAGTCGAGGGGGTTGGGC